TACGTGGCAATTTCAATCATGCCATTGTTAATTACCGCAGCCCTCCCCGCTTCACTAAGCGCTTTTTATCTCCTCTAATCGTGTATTATTATAAAATATATCTAAAGATCTATGAAAGGGGTCATGCCAGCTGTCTCCTCTGTTCACCATCTCATTCTTAACAGAAACAAATGTGTTCAATAACCTCTGAGAGAGCTTTAGCGCTCATTATTCCCTCATAAAAAACAGACTGAACCTATAAACCATCAAATTAGTGTCAAAAATGAAAGCATACGGCAGTGATTCGCTGCTGTTGGTGAGTTAGAGTCAAAGTCAGGTCTATAACAGAGAAATGAGAGCTTCATCATTTGAATCATCTGTCGTGGTCCTCATCTTTAGGCTAAACTACTGAAGGACAGATGATGTGTACTATGCAGAACCCCACAACAAAGTTCAAACTCAGTGAAATGAGTTGCTTTTGTCAAATGCAGAGAAATAACCTGATTGGGTTTTCAATGCGCTTCATTCTTTATTAAATGTAAGCTCTGTGTGTCTTTAATTGACTGAATATAAGACTTCACATCAATATAAGATACTGCATGTAGAAAATTGTTTAGTTTACTCAAAAATAAAAATGTGTGTGTGAAAATGTGAGTGTGTTAGTGTAGCAGATGTCAAGCAGTACCCTCGGGACAGAAGCACGACCACACATGGATGAGATGAGTGATGGAATTTATTCCCCTTTAAAGAAAGAATAGTAGTATGAGGCAAAATTAGTACAAACACACCGATAGGCCTACTCTCTCACTCCTGCATGGAAAAACACACGTGAGGATGAAGTGCTAAAACATCTCACGATTAAAAGTGCCACTTTCAAAGAGAATTCACTAATTACACCGATACACATCATAAAATACATATTAACAAAGTTAACACAATATACACAGTGATAAAGTCACAAAAGAGAGCAAATAGGACATATATATATATATATATATATATATATATGAGAGCGAAAGATACCCGTGCTTCCTGTCTGCATTCACAGTGAGACTGAGCGCGAATGCTTAAAGGAGAAGCGATACCTCTTCCTAAGGTGCGCCACTAATTAAGACCCCACCTACAACAATTGGTAGGAAATCCCAACTGGAACCATTGAAACTAAACATGAATCGCAATGATCAAAAATAAACATTAAATACAAGTTTTGATGAAGTTAACACTTTCAAAAAAATACATTCAACACAAACAATATAAAATAAAATATTATAAAGTAAATGATATTAAATAAAATATAAAAGTCACAATCAATTGGCTACATTAGCTCACTGCTACAATGCTAGTACATGGGTGGTTTTTAGTGTGTTGCTAGGGTGTTTTAAGTGTTTTTAGTGTGTTATGTGGTTCCTTCGGTGTTCTGTGTGTTGCTGTGTGGTTGCTAGGGTGTTCTGGGTGTTTTTAAATGTGTTGCTGTGCAGTTACTGGGGTGTTCTACGTGTTTTTAAATGTCTTGCCATATGGTTAATAGAGTTTTTTTTTTATGGAGTGGCTAGAATTTTCAGTGTGTTATGTGGTTGTTAGGTTTTTCTGAGAGATTTATTGTGTTGCTATGTAGTTGCTAGGGGGTTCTGAGTGTTTTAGTGTGTTGCTATGCAGTTACTGGGGTGTTCTGAGTGATTTTGTGTGTTGCTATGTGGTTGCCAGGGTGTTCTGGGTGTTTTTAGTGTGTTGCTATGCAGTTACTGGGGTGTTCTGAGTGATTTAGTCTGTTGCTATGTGGTTGCCAGCGTGTTCTGGGTGTTTTTAGTGTGTTGCTATGCGGTTACTAGGGTAGTTTGATTGTTTTTTAAATGTGTTGCTATGCGATGGCTAGGGTGTTTTTAGTGTGTTATGTGGCTGTTAGGTTTTTCTGAGAGATTTATTGTGTTGCTAGGGGTTCTGAGTGTTTATAGTATGTTGCTATTCATTTATCAGGGTGTTTGGAGTGATTTATTGTGTTGCTATGTGGTTGCTAAGGTGTTCTGAGTGTTTATAGTGTGTTGCTATGCCGTTACTGGGGCATTTTGTGTGTTGCTCTGTGGTTTCTAGGGTGTTCTGAGTGTTTTGTTTTTTTTTGTTGCTATGCAGTGGATAGGGTGTTTTGAGTGTTTTTACTGTTATGTGGTTGCTAGGGTGTTCTGAGTGATTTTGTGTGTTGTTAGGGGGTTCTGAGTGTTTTTAGTGTGTTGCTATTCATTTGCCAGGGTGTTTGGAGTGATTTATTGTGTTTCTATGTGGTTTCTAGGAGGATCTGAGTGTTTTTAGTGTGTTGCTATGCAGTTACTGGGGCATTTCGAGTGATTTATTGTGTTGCTAGGGGGTTCTGAGTGTGTTGCTATTCATTTACTAGGGTGTTTGGACTGATTTAGTGTGTTGCTCTGTGGTTTCTATGGTGTTCTGAGTGTTTTTTAGTTGCTATGAAGTGGATAGGGTGTTTTGAGTGTCTTTACTGTGTTATGTGGTTACTATAGTGTTCTGAGTGATTTTGTGTGTTGTTAGGGTGTTCTGAGTGTTTATAGTATGTTGCTATTCATTTATCAGGGTGTTTGGAGTGATTTATTGTGTTGCTATGTGGTTGCTAGGGATTCTGAGTGTTTATAGTATGTTGCTATTCGTTTATCAGGGTGTTTGGAGTGATTTATTGTGTTGCTATGTGGTTGCTAGGGATTCTGAGTGTTTATAGTATGTTGCTATTCGTTTATCAGGGTGTTTGGAGTGATTTATTGTGTTGCTATGTGGTTGCTAAGGTGTTCTGAGTGTTTATAGTGTGTTGCTATGCAGTTACCAGGGCATTTTGTGTGTTGCTCTGTGGTTTCTAGGGTGTTTTGAGTGTTTTTACTGTTATGTGGTTGCTAGGGTGTTCTGAGTGATTTTGTGTGTTGTTAGGGGGTTCTGAGTGTTTTTAGTGTGTTGCTATTCATTTGCCAGGGTGTTTGGAGTGATTTATTGTGTTTCTATGTGGTTTCTAGGAGGATCAGAGTGTTTTTAGTGTGTTGCTATGCAGTTACTGGGGCATTTCAAGTGATTTATTGTGTTGCTATGTGGTTGCTAGGGGGTTCTGAGTGTGTTGCTATTCATTTACTATGGTGTTTGGACTGATTTAGTGTGTTGCTCTGTGGTTTCTATGGTGTTCTGAGTGTTTTTTAGTTGCTATGCAGTGGATAGGGTGTTTTGAGTGTCTTTACTGTGTTATGTGGTTACTATGGTGTTCTGAGTGATTTTGTGTGTTGTTAGGGTGTTCTGAGTGTTTTTAGTCTGTTTCTATGCAGTTACCAGGGTGTTCTGGGTGTTTTTAGTGTGTTGCTATGCAGTTACTAGGGTCTTCTGATTGTTTTTGTTTAATGTGTTGCTATGTGGTGGCTAGGAGGTTCTGTGTGTTTTAGTGTGTTGCTATACAGTTACTGGGGCATTTTGAGTGATTTAGTGTGTTAATTTGTGGTGTCTTGGGTGTTCCGAGTAGGTTTTTTTGTTGCTATACAGTGAATAGGGTGTTTTGAGTGTTTTTACTGTGTTATGTGGTTGCTAGGGTGTTCTGAGTGGTTTTGTGTGTTGCTAGGGGTTCTGAGTGTTTTAGGGCCAGATTTACTAAACAGAGCAAATTAGCATTAGAGCACAATTCCATAAAAGCGCAGATGGGAGGGAAAAATTCTGCGTGTGATTTACTGACAAATGCGCACAGTAAAGAACACAGACACAGTTAGATAATTTCCATAATGACCAGCACAAATTAGCGCCTGCTTTAAGACATGCTTTTTTTGGGGGCGTTAAATAATGCCGCAAATACCAGTAATTTGATGAGCATAAACGTTAGTACCGGTAAATCGCGTTGCGTGATTCGTTTTAATACTCTCCTCCCATAAATTTTGCCTCTGAAAGGGAAACTCCTACAAATGCATATTCAGTAAGGTCAAGCACAAAAATAACTGTCCACATCTTTTCAGCGCTAATTCTTCACTGCACGTCTTTAGTAAATCCTGATAGCACTATTTTTACGCCAAAAGACGGTTTGCGCTGGCGCACGTTGTTAGTAAATCTGGCCCTCAGTGTGTTGCTATGCAGTTACTGGGGTGTTCTGAGTGATTTATTGTGTTGCTATGTGGTTGCCACGGTGTTCTGGGTGTTTTTAGTGTGTTGCTATGCGGTTACTAGGGTCTTCTGATTGTTTTTTTTTTATGTGTTGCTATGCAGTGGCAAGGGTGTTTTTAGTGTGTTATGTGGTTTTTAGGTTTTTCTGAGAGATTTATTGTGTTGCTATGTTGCTGCTAGAAGGTGTTTTAGTGTGCTGCTATGAGGTTACTAGGGTATTCAGAGTGTTTTTCAAGCGTATTGCTTTGTGGTTATTAGGTGTTCGGAGTCTTTTTTTAGTCTGTTGCTATGTGGTTGCTAGGTCTCTATGATATTCTGGTTTCTAGATACAACTCCTTCCGGGTCCGGTTGTACCATCTGTCAGGCGAAATCATACTCAAGTAATATTACACCACTCAACTGTAGCACAAATAGTGCTGGATGATGTGTTATGTGCCAGAGTTTGTTAGTTATTGTTAGAGGTTTGTTTAAATCCTTAACTATAAGTATAGCAATAGCAATGGTGATGTTTGTTGTGTGTTTGTGTTGAAAATACTGTCTGACTGATTCTTAGTTACTGAGCAGTTTACTGGAACCATAATCATGATCTTTACTACTGTCTTTCATTCACTAAAGCATGTGTGTGTTTGTATGTCCACCCATAATCTCTTTTCTCTGTCACACAATCCTTCCTTCCTCATTGATTTATTAGCAATCCCAACAATTCAAACATGTGAGTAAACTAATTCCTTGGCCTCCTCAACCGGTTTACCACCAATGAAGGAAGTTAGTCATGTTTGTCTTTATTAGCATGAGCGCACATGTGTGGCCGTCACGTCAAGTGTAAGGAACCGTTGGCAAATAACTAATGAAAAAGCAAATAGTCAGGCCAATAAAACTCATTTAGGATAGGACTTTATTACATCACGCTGACGTTTCGTGATCAATGACTTTGGGGGTACAAAAAGGCTTGGAATAAAAACCAGACAAGAAGCGTTGGACGACTGCTAGAGCGCTACAAGAACATCAAACCGAGGGTGAGTGAAGTTTCTGAACGAGCTTTTGATTGCTAGGAAAAATGGTTTGTCTTTCACCACTAAAAGTTCTCGTTTTCATCTTTTTAAGGTGTGGAAATGTCTCTTCTCACAAGTCTGACGCAAGTGTCCATCCTTGCGATATTTCTCATCCAGTGCGCGACCAGCCTTCCGGTTCTGGGCAGGTCAGGTCACGTTCAACCTCAAAAATGAATTGAATTTTCAACCTCAATCTGATCTTCTGAGCTGTTTCTGAAATAAAAAAAAGTAGTAGTGTAGTTTCAGGCCTGTCAAATCTTATTAGATCTTTATCTCTTTGTCCTTGCATGATTTTCTTCTGTACATTTTTGTTTCTTCCTTCCACTTTCTACAGTTCTGTCTGGAGGTGATAAGAGATTCAATTCTCTTAGCTTATGTTGTTTTTTCTGAAGCAAACATACCAAATAAACTTTTTTTTCCCACAGTTTCACAGTTGATGTATCGGCTCATTTATGTTTTGGCCTTTATCACCACAGGTATCTCGGCGAAGAGGACAGCATCTCAACAACGGACATATTTTCACCTAGAAAGGTGTTATTTCCCAGGGATGATGCAGATATGCTTATTGATGACCGAGACGGGTGGGTCTCATACACTTTTATTGTTAATAAACAAATCACTTTTGTGATCCTGTTAGATCCATGCTTATTTAAGTGCAGGCCGCCCCCTTGAGGAGAACACTGGCTCTTATCAGCAAGTTTCTTGTAGTATCTACTTGTATCCATTGATAAACTTTTAAAATTAGATCTTTCGAGCCTTTTTCTGGAAATAACTCGCATATACTTGTCATATTTGAGTCATTTGAATCAACACTTTGACATCGAACCCGATCCATATCTCCAGGAGATCTGGGCTTCACACGAGGCAGTTGGGCGACATTGAGTTCACAAACAGATATGCTGAACTCCTCAAATCCAAAGCTAAAATCACATCCATCTGTGCCTTCCTGAAACGCATGCAAAGCAGCAAGAAAAGGTAAAGCACCGCTATGCTCATCCTAAACAAATCTCTCAAAAGCATCATTTGATTGACATTATGTATAGTTGAGAAATGTAAGGGAAAGTTTCAAGTATAGCATTCTCTGAACAGTTTGCAAACATTGTTTTCTCTTAACGTCTAATGACTTTCTGTAAAGTGCATAGCTTTTCTCTTAGCAATAAGCTAACCCAGTTATATCAGTATACAAAATGATACTTAGCAATATGTTTCAATACATAACGTATATTTTTGCTCTCAAATGATATATTCTAGCTTGAATGACATTTCATGGTCTGTGTGTTTGCAGCGGCGTCGGTGGAGAAACAGACAGATTGATTTCCCTGATGAGACAGTATGCATGTCCAACCGTGTACCAGTGAAGACTGGCTTCATGTCCAAGAAACATGAAGACAGCAACTTCACAATGTTTGAATCAGTTTTAACATGTTTGAGACAAACTGTTTGTATATATTTGAGTAATTAATGACTTTTTTTCCTCCAAATGTGTCTCATAAAACTGCAGATTCAGTTGCAGTCAATAACATTTCAGATGCAAATTAAACTCTGGATTTGAGAATAGTGACTTGTCTTGTTTATGAAACCACACCTTTAGCTCCTCAAAGGCACATGCTGGTTTATAAATTTAACACTAGACAATAAGTTCATGAGCCTTTATGAGAGCTTTATAGTAGTAAAAAGCTTTCATGCTACTATATAATGTGCATGACTCACAAGATCATAATTAATATACGACCAATCACAGACTGTTGTAGATTATATGAGGTCACGATAAACAAACATGGTATGTAAAGAGGCATTTTATAGACATGGTTCAAAAATAGCATAAGAACAGATTTATTGAGAAGATCTTAACGCTACATGAATATGGTAATCAAAGTGACATACATGCACTGTTAAAAAAATTCCGTAAAATTTATGGTAAAAAATACGGTAGCAACATTTTAGGTTTTACAGTTTTAACTTAAATTTACAGTTAAATACCATAATTTCATTAACTGATATAATGTTAATATACCAACCTAATGAAGTACTAAAATCTGTTTTGTACCTTTGTGATACACTGATAACCACCACCGTTAAATTCACGGTAATTTTTTACAGTGTGGGTCTTTCCTGTATTTGGTGCCTTTTGGACATAAAATGTATAAAATCAAACTGTTTTTAAAATAACCTTTTGAGTAATCATCATAGGTTGATTTTGTTCAAGCTTAGGCAAATAAATGTAAGCATTTATGAAACAAAAGACTAAAAATGTCCACCCTGTTAGGGACAGATACTAATAGAAGTTCTGTAAACTTGTTTCATTTGAAAATATTTCCTTCAATACAATTAAACTCCACTCATTTATTTTGTTATACTGTTGCTGAAACTTAACTGTATTGATTAAGCAGGATGGGAACTAGAAATCTGCTGTAACTGATTCAGTCTGAGTACTGCTTAATATAATAAAATACCAGCATGGCGCCGCAAATGGCAGCAAGGACGCTGAGCTCCGCGATTCTTCTATTGTTTTTGTTTGTTTGTTCTGTGTTTTGTCATTCTTCTATAAGTTTTACCAGAGACGAACTCCTAAACATTACAGTTTTTTTTAATTGGTTTGGTACTATTTTCATAAGTAAGGTGTACATTTTCAAAACGCTTAGCTTGGTAATAAAGCTCTTCTGATTCTGATTCTGATAATCTGTAGTTCACATACCTTTTTCTATTATATAAGCAATTCTATTATTATATTTATAAATTCATGTCCTTTTGTTCATTTAAAAGCTGGTAATAAATCTGGTAACAAGTTATTAAAATATACCCAAAATGGGGGGACAGTAATTGTTGTATTTTTATTTTAAAATGTTTTGTAAAATATACTTCAATATACTTAAAGTTCAAATTATGTTTTTTTTTTTATGACTAATCTTTAAATTTATATTGTTTATAAGAGTAAGATCATATTCTGTACATGGGGACAAGACCCATCTCTTTAACCTGGCTTACACATAACACACTAATACGCTTCTAATATTCAAATCAGTTAAAGGATTTTTAGGCTGCATTAATTAGGTCAGCCAGAACCGGGAACACTTCTCATAACACCCGATGTACTTGCTACATCGTTAGAAGAATGGCATCTACGGTAATATTAGTCTGTTTCTCTCTTATTCCGAGGTCACCGTAGCCACCAGATCCAGTCTGTATCCAGATCAGATGGTCACTGCAGTCACCCGGATCCAGTACGTATTCAGACATTGACACACTATTTTCCTAATTAATGCTGTTCAGTTGCTTTGACACAATCTGTATTGTTAAAAGCGCTATATAAATAAAGGTGACTTGACTTGACTGACTTGACATGAAGGCACCGGATGACCCACATACAGTAAACCTATACAGTATTACCTCAACTGTACTTTTATTGTAAGCAAATTATGAGAAAAAACAACTTGTTTTGGGTTTAATATCCTCAAACGTTTCCCAGTGTAAAATTCCTACAGCGTAACGAGTTGTTTGCTACGACATTCGTCATGCTAATGCTGTTTTAAAGAAGAACTGTATATTGTAGGTAGGTCTAGCAGTAATGTCTTTATCGCATCTTTCATCAGTTATGTGCAATAATATAACAAGATACTTACGTATTACGGTATATGAGTCAGATAAGATTGCTTCAATTGGTTGTTTGAAGATTACCGTTACCGTAAGTGAAAGCTACGCCCACTCATGACTAGCTACTAGCATGTGGGTGAAAAAAATAAAAACTGAAGAATTCATTTATGCTTTTCTAGCTAGTTTATTTCCGTCATAAAGTCATAGAAGCACTTGAATTAGCTTCTAGTGCGCATTATTGGTTTATTTATAGTTGACAAAGTTCCCCATTTATGGCACTTTTTGTTCAGGAATAAGGAATAAAATAACAGCTTTGCGAAATTTGAGCTAAAACATCTTCAACATTTAAATTAATAACCGAAAAACACAATTTGTAAATTATCCAATGCAATTCTTAATACTTTTAACTTCAGTTGTATTTTACAATGTCTGCCTCACGTTTGAAGATGGCCTGAATATAACATTTTGGGAACAACACTGATGCTAACCATCTGCACACAACTAAAAATATTGTTTTGTAAACATCGTTCTTCATTGTGATCATGGTTTATGAGATGTACATGCACATGTAAAGCAGCTGTGTTCATGTCTGAGGCAAAAGTCCACCTGTGCTCATCTTTATAGCCAATAAATCCGAGATAAGCGTCCGTCTCAAAGATTAAGCTTTAAGTCGGTTTCTCATATTAGCTATTGCTAACAACTGCTTGATGGGAATTTGATTCAGTCGGAATAAAGGGATTCGTCTTCGATATTCCTTTATTGATCCATCACCTAACAAGAAAAATGGATTTGAAGCCTAAAGGATCTGCTGCTGTTTTCGTTCTCCTGGTTCTTTTCACACTCAGCAAGTTCAGCGAAGCACAAAGTAAGTGCTGAAAGTTTGAGAATGAAAAATCTTACGTAATCAGGTTTTCTTTTGTAGGCTGAAAGAGTTCAGAACATTACATTTCCCCAGTTATTTGACAGCTGACAAGTTAGTTATGTTTGTTATGATCGTATATAGACTTAAAAAAACAGATGTTAAGACTTTTGGAAATGTTATTCTTGAAAGTATTCAAATTTCAAGTTGTGAGAGTTTGCTAGCGTTGTAGTTATGGTTAACTGTACATCAAGGCAACTGTTTCAAGGTTGATTCAGGAAATTTATTGATTTTATTATAATATTATAAGTGAGTGATCAATGTTTAGGTTTAATCACCTTTTTTTACAACCACAATTTTTACAGTATAGATTTTAGAGTAAGATGTGCATATGTTTTACCATAGATATGGTCTTATTATTTCAAGCAGTATTTTAACTTTACACAAAACTATCATTTTACATGAATTAGAAGTACAGTACACACTCCATAAATTTCTGCTTAATCGTATTTGTATAAAATGTTTTCCCAACCAATTTAAGATGACTTTGAAATGCTTGAATTATAGGCTTGTTTGAAGAAATCCTACAAGTGAAATTGCTTTGTTTCTTCAGCAGTTTTTTTTTTCAGTCATCATGAATTTTTTATTTTTTTTTTGCTTTGTATTTTCTAACATTCACGTTTTTTCAGTGTCAACCAGGACCATTCATGAAAATGTAATTCTGATTTTTTTTCTGAATGACACAGACCTTTGCTCGGTGCCAGATAATTTGCTGGTAATTCTTATTCCGGAAAACAACGCTATTGGAGTCGTAGTTACAACACTCAATGCTGAGGATGGGGTGATGGCCAGAATCACTAGTCAAAATCCAGAGGGTTTCTTCAGCATCAGTGGATACGATCTCATTGCTGAAACTGTGCTGGACTATGAGGTTAATGTTGTATATCTTATAAAGTGTCTGGTGTTCAGCCAATACACTTTACATTGATAATTTCAACGCCTGTTTCCTGGGATGAAAAGTACAAAGTATATTTACTATTTTAAAGGGGTCATATGATGCGATTTAAATTTTTCCTTTCTCTTTGGAGTGTTACAAGCTCTTGGTGCATAAAGAAGAATAATGTTCTTTTTAGCAGCATCATATGACCCCTTTAATATGTCAAATCCATTTTACACCTTACATATGTTTCAATTAAACGAAGTGCTTCATTTTTGTAAAGAGATGTCTGTTCACTCAGCATTAGTCTTGATCTAAACTGGTTTTGGTTGTTTTCTCAATTACCACTTCAATTTAAGTAAGTTTAAGCTTAAACTTATTTACCAATCAGGTATCTGGGTTTTAGGATTTCAGTTTAACATGATGTAGTTTTATTGTCAAAACATTGTAAAAACTGTGATTTAAACAGCACAGCATCAGTTATTATAAGGATGAAATTCTTGAAATCTTGATATTAAAAAGCTGATAAAAATTGACTTTTAAATGCGTATATATATATTTGTTTAACACTTTTAAGTATGATTTCATAGTTTTGAATTGGATCAAATTACTTAATACTTTTTTGACGTACTTATTTCTCAGTACTTTTACACCCTTACCGGTGTCCTAGCTATTCTAGTTAAAAAACTATAAATGTGTAGTTTTAAAGATTAAAATTTTGCCTCAAGTAAATGAGAGCATTTTAATATTTCAAAGCAACCATTTAATTCAGATCCATTTCAAATGCTTTCTGTACAAATTAACAGACCTTTTATGTTTTGTTATTTTCTTAGACATTTAACCCGAGCAAACCTCATGAGGTGCATATTGAGTGTACAAAAGCTGGCTCTCTCTCTGTAAGTAAACTATTCAAGTGGTGTTTTATTTAAGTGAACCTAAAAAAAAACTTCTTGCATTGTAAAGGATTTATTCAACCTCAATTCTTACTTTTTTTTTTGTTTTAAATGTTTGTTTTGATGTTGGTTATTGAGGTCCTGCATGTCATATTTGTATTTTTAGACCACACTGAATCTGAAAATAGCCGTTGAGGATATAAATGATAATCCACCAGTGTTTGCATACAGTCAATACACACTAAACGTTGATGAGGTACTTTTTTCTTAAACTTTTAAGAAACTTTTAAGAACTTCTGTTCATTTATCTATTTTATCATGGCCAATTTTTTAAGATCTGAAAACTTTTACTGATTTTTGTAGTTGTCAAAAGTGGATACCAGTGTTGGCCTGATCACAGCAACCGATCCTGATAAAAATGATAGACTTTACTACCAACTGGATTCTCCTGAGGTACAGCTGTGTCCCCAATACACCTTCTGAGACAACAAAAATCCCAGAGAATGTGCATATAGAGTTTGTATACATTGTATTTCATGGTATACACAAGTGTCCTCTTGGGAATTATGTTCTGAAGGATCTTCTTTTTGGAATTTTAAAAGAGAATTCCCCTTGAATGTTGGTTCCAAATTATTATAGGAATTCCAAATGGAATCCCATTCACAATGTTGGCCTTTGTTCTCTCTCAGGGAGAATATGCCCTGGAGGCCAATTTCAATCCCAACATTCTGGTGAAAAAGTGTCTGGATTATGATGAAGTTAAAAAAGTCACAATGATGCTATATGTGCAGGTAAATTTATCTGACCCAGATTTAATCTTCAAAGATGCTTCTTTTTGTACAAACTACTTTCATTTGATGGCTTTTCAGGACACACCGATTGGATCTACAGCTAGAGTCTCCCACACTGCCTCCGCCACCATTGTAGTCAATATCATAGACATTGACAATCGTCCACCATGGTTCCAGCCCTGTACAGAAACTGAGATTGACACAAGCAAAATCTGCTTGATGTCTGGTTATAACGGGAATGTCAACTTAAACGAACAAGCGGTGAGTTTTCTATCCAAAGCACTTGTAGACAGAGGTCTGATGTTGAGTTAAACCATTTTAAATGTTATATAGCTATGATTATTTCAAAGTGCCCCAACAAACACCAACACACATTATAAAGTTGGCTAATGGATGTAGAAATATCAGGAAACATCTCATTGGATCAGTTTGTTGGGGCAGTGTGAGTTAGCCGAAGGTGGTGGATAGATTTTGAGATTAGCGTGTCAAATGAGAATATGAATGTTGATGTACACCACAGCCAGGTCCTTTGTCCTTGGAGCCAGGTCCACTCTTGGCCATTGATGGCGACAAAGGCAGGAATGATCCTATTGTTTATATATTTCTTGGAGGTGAGATATTTAATTGTCTATTTTATTTTCCTTATGCGTTGAAATAAAGAACTTCAGGATGAGTCGACAGGTTTTAATTAGTACGTTTTACATGTTCAGGAAATGAGGGAGGTATATTTGAAATCAACACTGACACCGGGAGCATCACAATGCAGGAACCAGTAAAAGAGGCAGGAACAATTGTTCTTTCAGTCATGGTGAGAGATGTTTTGAATGTTACATGCAAACAAAAGCTGCATTTTGGAGCCACTGTACATATTATGTATGCTCTTAAAAATAAGGGTTTTTGGCATGGTTCCTTGAAGAACCTTTAACATCCATGGAATCTTTCCATTCCATAAGTGATTCTTTGGATTATTAAAATGTTCTTCACTCTAAGAAAAAATGGTTCTTTTAGGAACTGTTCACTGAGAGGTTCTTCGGGGAACCAAAAATGGTTCTTCTATGGAATCGCTGCAAAACCCACTTATAATAATGGAACCAAAATTTGAAAACCCCAACCAAATTTCCCCTCTGTCTCCTTAGGCATATCAGAAGGAGAACGCTGATCAGTTTGCCACCACTACAGTCATCCTGAAGGTGGTGGAATCCACCAATTTCCCTCCGACCTTTGTGAAGTCCAGTTATGAAGGCTTTATCTCAGAGGATGCGGGTGTGGACAGCCTGGTGCTGGAGAGCAAAACATCCAACAGACCCCTCAGAGTACAGGCTACAGATGAAGACTTTCCTAGTGTAAGAACTCAGAGACATACAGCATTTTAGTCTCTGCATGTGTTCAGTTCAAGATGCAGACTTAATTTGTAAAGTACATACAAAACACATAGAGCAGGATAGTGAAAATTAGTGTAAATCAATCAGAAAGAGTTTTTACATAAACATTTACATTGGTTTTATGGACCTCAAGTCATTCTTGCATAAAGTTTTGCACTGAATTGATTTGTTTGTAAAACCATTCTTATAGAAATCATCACGTTTAATTCAATGCACATTCATTTTTATGTAAATTCATGGATGGAATATTTTGAATTGAATTGTTTGTCACATTTGACATAATTTCTAAAAACATTCTCGCGTAAACTGTTGCCTTAAAATCAATGTTCAAAAACATTCTTTCATAAATCATCACATTCTATTCAATATTCATAAAACCATTCTTAAGTAAATTCTTGGATTGAATTAAATAGTCTGTAAAACAATTTTTACATAAACTGTTGCATTGAATTGAATTGTTTGTGAAACTCTCACATTTCATTGAATCATTCCTTAAAAAAATCTTGGGTAAATTTGTTGCACTGAATTGAATGTTCATAAAACCATTTTTACATATATATATATATATATATTTACTGTGAACTGAATTGTTTGTTAAAAATTAAGCATTTAATTGAATCGTCTTGAAAACTATTCTGAGTAACCATTGCAATAAATTCAATGTTCGTAAAACCATTCTTATATAAATTGTCACATTCAATTCAATATTCATAAAAATATTCAGTAAAATGTTGCATTAGTTTTACCAACTTGTAATTTATTCTTACATAAATCACATTGAATTTAATAATTTGGGGTAAATTAAATTCAATGTTTGTAAAACAATTTTTAATAAATCGTCACATTCCATATTTGTAAAACCTTACATACATGAATTCTTGGATTGAAATGAATAGTTTATAAAATCATTTTTATGTAAACACACATTGTAAAACCACTGTTGCATTCAATTCATTGTTAGACCTTACATAAGAATGTTTTTAATGATTTACACAAATGTTTGCTGAATGATGCCTATTATTGTAATATTTCTGGTGTTAAGTGCTGGATTTCTTTCTTTGTAGGGCATTAATCCTAACCTCAGATTTGAGATTGTTGACGGCACTGACTTCTCAATCACTCAAGAGGGTTTCATACTCATGGCGAAGACGGTTTCCCCAGGCACTGTAAATTTAGAAGTAAGGACTTAATATTTCATACAACATTTCATGCGCTTTAGACATTAGACTCTAATTGTTAGTGTGTGATTTGAAACATTTACGACCATATTATCCATCGTGACTCAGATGAGGGTGGTTGACACAACCAATGAAGAATCAAGCACCGCTTCTCTTACGGTTGAGGTCACTCCAGGTAAGACCAGACCAATACTGCACGCTCTTAAGACACCACCTAAATATGACATGATACAATCCAATAAGGAATAATCAGAAGAGTGGGCTAATCAGGGTACTTTCTGAACATCATAGCTTTTAACGAACAGTTTGAGCTTTTGGTGATCTTCACATCAATCCTTTTTCATTTCAAGCCACTTAAGGGAAACTTGCATAAATAGTACAATATGATTAGCCCATAAACTGAATTTCAAATGATTCACTTGAATCAGTCAACAACAAAGCTCTTGACCGGTGACACCATTTTTCTTCAGGGGTTCCCACTACCACTCCTGCCACAACTATCATGACTTCATCCATTATAACAACAGAGAGCACTGCTAACACAAAGCCAACAGAAATCACCACTGCCACCTCGCACCCAGGTATCACCACAACTACGCGCCCCAGCACAGGTAAACTTACGCTAAGCTAACTAGCATGCTAAATCTTCTGGTGTGCTGTGTCGTATGCCATTTTTGAAATGACATACCATCATAGCACACTATAAAAATATTCATGAATCTAGCACGGCAGTGCCAATCACATGGAATTTGCTCAAGGTTGCATGCTTTATGCTACTGACACTTTTGGATACTGGCTATAGAGGGCTGCAGTGATGACGTTAGCATCACTCTAGTTCACTCTGGATTTTTCCATTAGCATTTGGAATATTGCAGGAAATAAGATCCGTGACCAACAAAGGGTTTGGATTCTTACATGTTTTGTTCACACAAATGAACACAATTTTGAAGCTTAAACACAATCGCCAGAAGCTAATGTAGCTAATGTAACTTCAACGTCACTGCTATTAAGCTTCTGACAACTTTCAATCTTTATTTAAAAGTAATTTTCCCTGAAAGCTTGAGTTATACCTCTGCAAATGACTTTTTCAAGCCAAGTTTCAAGCTTTTTAAAAATCACAAAGTAGTATTACTAAAGTACTTTTTGTTGTAGAATGAAACATGAAAATATCTTGAGCTTTTGTTAACCACAGACCTTATTTCAGGCATTTCACCCAAAATCCATTCGAAAAACCCATTGACTTTGGGACGATGGAACCAGAAGTGCTAAAATGCTAACTTGTTTCTGGGTTTTGGCCTACAAAAATAGTAAATGCATCATCCCTGCAGCACTCTATATGTGACCCTGGACCACAAAACCAGTCTTAAGTCGCTGGGGTATATTTATAGCAATAGCCAAAAATATATTGTATGGGTCAAAATTATTGATTTTTCTTTTATGCCAAAAATCATTAGGATATTAAGTAAAGGCGATTTTCTCAATATTTTGATTTTTCTGCAGATTTTCAAATAGTTGTATCTCAAGCTAAATATTGTCCTATCCTAACCATACATCAATGGAAAGCTTATTTATTCAGCTTTCAGATGATGTATAAATCTCAATTTCAAAAAAAAAATTGACCCTCATGACTGGTTTTGTGGTCCAGGGTCACATATGGGTGTGCACTAATATTTGTGAAAACACAAAATTCAAAAGCATGTGATTCAAAATGAATGCAGTTGTGAAATTCCAGTAAATTACAATCATTTGTGTGTATCATTCTAGTAAACTCACTGAAAGTTTACTTTAAGTATCCCAAAAACATGTTTTTCTTTCCTCTTGTGTGCTCCAGAGGGACAGCAGGTGAAAACGGGTGAGTTCAGTTCGGGCGATATGGCGGCTGTAGGGGCCTCTTTGGCTGTGGTTGTCGTTCTCTGCTTAGTTTGCATTGGATTGATGGTGCACCGCATCAAGGGCCATAACGCAGACTGGAAGAAGCTTTCTGAGGCTAGCGTCTTTCAGAGCACAGTGAGTTTGCATGCAGAAAACTGTTCTCTTTGAGCATCAAACGAATAAATCCTAGGAATGTTCTAGTTAGGCTGAAAATTATTTAACGACTAGTAAATTGTCATGAAACATTCATAAAAACCCTTTTCATATAAATGGTTACGTTGAATTGTTGGTTAAACCGTTGTTTTATGTAACTGCCATATTGAATTTAATAGTTCATTAAAGCATTTTTAACATACATTGTCAGAATAGTAACATCTGATGTATTCTCATGTTTATTGTCATATTGAACTGAAACCCATAAAACCCTGCTTACATGAATTGATGAGTTAATAAAAGCATTCTGATGTAAATTGTCACACTGAAACGCACAAAACTTCATAAAACATTTATTACATAAATTTCCAATTTAATTCAATGTTCATAAATATATTCTTGTGTAAAATTTCGGATTGAACGTTCATAAAAGTTTTTCACATAAGTTGTCAAATTTCTCAATCTAATCTTACATTCAATTTACCAATCGAATAGTTAATAAAAGCATTCAACGTAAATTGCCACACTGAATCATTCAGTTGTAAAACCATTTTAAGATAAATTGTCACATTCAAATTGTAGTATAACAAATCACATTCATTGTTCATAAAACTATTCTTAAGGTTTTTTCTGAATCAAATAGTTCATAATTTAAATCACTTGTAAAACCAACAAATTGTCACATTCCAATTTTCGTAAAACTGCTTTTACGTAATTTTTGGATTGAATTAAATAGTTTGTAAAGGTATTCTCATATTAATTGTCACATTCCAATGTTTATAAAGGCATTCTTGCATTCATTTTTGTATTGAACTGATAAGTTCATAGAAGATTTTTTTCACACTGAATTAAATTGTTTGTAAAACTATATAACTATTTATGTATACTATAACATTTTTGGATCGAATTGAATAGTTCATAAAGGAATTCTCACGTTAATTCATGTTGAATCGAATTTTTGTCACATTCCAATGTTTATCAAACCATTCTTACATACATTTTTGGGATAGTTTTGAATAGTTTGAATAGTTTTTATACGTTTGCACCATAGTTTTTGACATTGAATTAAATCGTTCATAAAACTATATGTTCATACTGAATCAAATTCTCAAATAATTGGTCACATTCAATGTTTATTAAACCATTCCTGTGTCAAATTTCAGATTTAGCTGAACAGACTGTAAATAATATACCTAAATTGTCACCTTCAATGTTTAAAAATAATTTTATGTTAATTTTCTTATTGAATTGAATGGTTCATAAAAGCATTTTATGAAATTTGCTGCATTGAATCAACCCAAATTGTCACGTTCATAAAACCACTCTTGCATTAATTTTTGGACTGAAATGCATAATCCGTAAAAGCATTCTCACATAAATGAATTGAATCAGATTCTTGCATAATTTGTCAGTGTTCATAAAACTGTTATTACATTACTCGAAAACTGGTGAACTATTCCCTTAATGTTAATACTTCATATATCTAGATCATATTTGAGAGTACTTTTTTCTTTTTTAATTTATGACATTGAATTAAATTGTTCAAAAAACTAAGAATGAATTCTCAGGTAATTGGACATTCAATGTTCATAAAACCATTACTTCAGGTGAACTATTCCATTAATGTTAATGCTTTCTATATCTAGAGAATATTTCTGAGAGCATTTCTTTCTTGCTACAGCTCGGTGGAGGCTCAGGTGGTCCTAAAGAGGGTGTGCAGTACAGCAATGGGGGCTTCCAGCACGATGATGATTCTGGGAGTGTGAACAGTAAGATAGCTGCAGACCTGGAGAACAAACTGGAGTCCGGACTAAAGCCGCAGCAGAGACGCGGGTCAGCGCAGAAGACGACGACCCCCAGCAGCCCTCCACCCGACTCCAGCAGCCTGGCAGAGACCATCGACAGTGAGAAGGAAGTCAAACCAATCCTGACCAAAGAGCGGCGCAATGAGGAGGGCTACAAATCGGTTTGGTTTAAGCAAGATATCGACCCCAACACCAAAGAGGAAGTGGTCATCATTCCCGACACCGGTGAAGCGGATGGAGACCGTGAGGAAGATGATGACAGCGAGGGTGAAAACAGCCCTGACGGGGATTCTGATGATGAGGAAGGAGTGTCGTCAGATTTGTAGACCGTTTCTCCAGTGCAACAACTGCAAAACACAAGGACTTGAGTGTCAAATGTTAGACACTTTAGTACAGTCGAAACGTTAAAAGATTCATTATAAGTTAGTTGACTTATGTTCTAAAGTTTTTACAAATGTTTTCCTTTGTCATATTCCGGCTGGGTATCGTTTAAAAATTGTTGATACCGATACCGATACCTTGACTTTGATATCGGTTCCTAAACGATACTTTTTTCAATACCAGTTGTATGAAATCAATTTTAACGAGATTACATTATCTCAAAAAAACGTTGGTTTTATTTTTCAGCTTGTTGACGTTTATACAGACTCAAAGACTCATCTCCTGAGCCACTGCACAAAGGAACAAAATATAACCAACATAATAAATCAGTGCAAATAGTTTTAATAAAGTTCAAATAGTTTTCAGTTTACACTTCTGATAGGCTGGTACCGAACGACAAGACGTTTTTTGATACTCGATGCTATCGAGGCAATTCAGTCGGTGCCTAAAAAGTAGTCTCGCGTAGCCAGACCTTCAGACTGACGGCTGAAGGTCTGGAATCTATGGCAGCTTTCACTGGCCAAGGCCTGCCCATGAAGCTGTTTGAGAGACATGTCAAACAACCAACCACAGTTCGTTTCGTTTCAGCGTCACGTTTCGGGGGGTGGAAATGTCGCCACAATTACAGACCGGTGTGTAAAACGCCAAGGCCTGCCCATGAAGCTGTTTGAGAGACATGTCAAACAACCAACCACAGTTCGTTTCGTTTCAGCGTCACGTTTCGGGGGGTGGAAATGTCGCCACAATTACAGACCGGTGTGTAAAACTCTCGGACGTATTTTAAAGATTCTGTGAACTTTTGTTGTGATGTTGTGAACTTTAAATATTTCACATACTTTTGAGAATCCAGCGTTTAGTTGATCCTGATAAGCGCTCATGGTCACAGTTGTAAATACGACGGCTTTCTTCTTTCCTGAGGGGGTTTGGCGCTACGGCATCTTTGTTTCTAGGCGGAACGTTAAAGAACGTGACCCACACGTCTCCCGGAAATCCTGTATAATTCAACCAATCCAATGAGGACTTCGAAACTCCTGAAGTGTTTCCACTTTTGTGTGCCGTATGCATCAGACGTTCAGCCAACGTGGGCGTGACGTCTGAGGCTGAGACTACCTAAAAAGTATCAAATTCGATACCCAGCCCTATTCCTTACTGTTCTATAAATATGGTAAACAAAATGAATATAATTTTCACTTTCTAGCATGAAAGGTCAACCTGAAATCAAAATTGACCCGGTTTGCTTTCTAAATATATGTTCTTGTTTTTATTGTGAATGATTCATCAGTGCACATTATTTTGAAGGAAAAAAAGGTAAATCTAAAATTTTTCAATATTGCTCAGAAATACATCCGATTATGGAAGTTAAATAGGTTGAGAACTGCATTTCATGTTGACTAAGTGCTGTGCACAAAAACACGTATTAATAGTAAATTAAAATATTTTTGTAAACAATCTATTCTTTGTAGAAAGCAGTTTACTGGAAACATGGAAATAAACAATAATTACTAAAACTGTCATTTATTCTGTCACCAAGCAGATTTTTTTTTTTTTACTTCTTGGTTTACTTATAGTTGACTGCATATTACCCAGGGATAAGAGAGAGCATTTTAACATTGAAATTGCTAATAATTTGTGACCTGTATAATGAGAACTATTTATTTGTGTGTTTGTGACATTGCAGTGGAATGCTGCCCTTTCACATAATCATGCACAATCATAAATTCTTCTATAACAACTTAGATAAGTTTTAATGATTAACCTGCGAACTGTGATCTGTCTGTGAATGCTGTATTATTAGTTTGCATGCTATTATATACTGCAATCTATACCACAAAGAAACACACTGGTACAGATCTTTACAAATGAGTATGACTTCAAGGGTCATATTTCAGCACCCCACAGCAAGAAATATTTTGTTTAAAGAAAATATGGCCTGTCCAACCTTTTGCATTGACCTCAAATTAATTAAAGTGATACATTTATCTCAAAATGTTCCTTACAATAAAAACCTTTTTTTATTTAGTTATTTCTTTTGTTGTATGTACCATTATATCATTTTCAGCACTATAGTACTATAGCACATAGTATTATTATTTTTTGTAAAGAGGGAATAGCTCCATCTTCAGGGACAGTACTAACTGTGTCAAACAAACTCGGTCTGGGGACAAAAAAAAGTAAATGTTGGCATTACAGCAAGTCTGCACCAGGGATGTTATACAGTAGGTAAGTAAAACAAAAATGCCATATTTGTTTTAATAACCAAAGCAACATTCTCATTTTAATTTAGTTTAACTTGATTTACTGAAATAACAAAAAACTACAATAACATTTAATAAAAACAATATAGACAGAAAGAGAAGGTTTCTTCTTCAGAATCCAACAAACTGCAATCAAATCTGAACATTTTACACGTTGATTAGTCGCCCTCTAGTGGAGAAACTAACAACATGAAAAATACAATAAATAAATATTTACCAGAGTTTTTGGGATGTACCCCCAAAACATTTTTGGACACTTAAGTCAATGCAGGAATGTCACTGCATTAGATAACAAGAAGTTACCAAACTAATAGAGTCATATCCTATTCATTAATTTTTATATCAAGTAACTTTATACCAGACCGATATATATAACATTTTTCAATATAATATCGGTATAATGTAAAATAATAGAAAATATCATTTTAAATAAAATTTTTAAATTATAACAAATGATGTCCAACTTTGGAAAAAAAAAAAAGTAGCCTATATGTATTGGTAGATTACATGTAATTTTTATTAGATTATGAATATGTTTCTTTGTTATAGGAAACTATTTCTGTTTATATGTAGCACTATGGTCCTGTGAGGCACAACATTTTGTTACCTTGTATGTCTCCACATATAGCGGAATGACAATTAAGCTCACTTGAACTTGATGTGAATTTGTTTTTTAGGTATGCAGCATGCAGCCTGGTCTCAACAGGAATTTGTTTCTATTTTAAAAAACAACAAAATACATATAGCATTTATAATGCATATTTTCTAAGTCCTATAGGCCTACATATACGTATATTGTATATACATGTATAGATTTAAATACAGAAATGCATTTAATTTAATAAGAATTGATTTGTTTTCTATCATGTTTTATGGATAGGACTGAACGGCAATCATTTAGAAAGTTCTGAGACGCTCAAAGCCTTATGACGCCACAGAGCGCGTTCGAATAGAACTCTCGGGGTTTATAAAGCGCGTGACATTCTTACATTCTTTGTGGGTTTGTTGTAGTGGTCAGTGAGTTTTCACAGCAATGGGACAGCGAGGTACTAAAGTGAGTCCGATGACGGTTGGCGAGGTGTACGATCAACATCTTAGTACACCCCCAAAACCCAGCACCAACACGGCGCTTCAACATCCTCATCCCTGCGATGAGACCCCTGTTGGTGCTGGAGGAGGAGGAGTAGGAGAAGAGGAAGGAGGAGGAGAGGAAGGAGGAGGAGTAGGAGAAGAGGAAGGAGGAGGAGGAGTAGGAGGAGAGGAAGGAGGAGGAGGAGAAGAGGAAGGAGTAGGAGAGGAAGGAGGAGTAGTAGGAGAAGAGGAAGGAGGAGGAGGAGTAGGAGGAGAGGAAGGAGGAGGAGGAGGAGGAGGAGGAAAGGAAGGAGGAGGAGGAGGAGAGGAAGGAGGAGGGGG